AGCAGAGAAGCACAGACAGAAATCCACCGTCGTGATGAACACATGGGTGGGTCTGAAAGCCTTGTCGTGTCTGTTGTGTATACTCACTCTGGTCTCTGCACCTTGACGGCCACAAGCTCGCCGGACTCCCTCAGACGTGCCCGGTACACCTGCATCATTGTGACACACACACGTACGAGTGCAGGTTATGGCCTCTCTGCTGATGAACTACAGTTAGTTACCTGTCCGATGGAAGCTGATGCGATCGGCTCGGGCGGGTCGAACTCAAAGAGCTCGTCGGCAGGCACACCCAAATCCTCCTCTATGATGCGCATCGCCAAGGGCGTCGAAAACGTACCTGTAGGTGTGTGGGTGCGCGGGGCAAGCGGCAAAGCTCATGAGGGAGGGAGGTGCGGTGTGGTGTGTGACTCAGTGCCTCACTCACCGACGGCATCCTGCAGCTTCTCGAGCTCCTTGATGTACAGGGGCGACTTGACTAAATCAGAACGAAGCGCCAACGCCTGAACACAACACAATTAGCGTCAGAGAACATGATGCTTGCAATCCGTGGCGTTCGCCCACCCACCTGTCCACTCTTGATGAAGGTGACACTGCCGGTTGCCACGAGCGCCCGCCTCAGCTGCTCGGCCCGCCGAGCGTCGAGGCGCTCCTGTGCGTCGGGTGACCTCCACCGGCCCGTGGCGTCGTCGATGCGGGTCTGCACCCACCATGACAACAGGGGCGCCAGGATCCGGCGCATCCGGAGGGCCACTTGCACGGGGCGGCCTCGGTAGTAGTCGGAAACACGCGTCCCGTTGTAGCTGCATTGTGTCATTGAATGAATGAATGAAGGAATGAAGAAGGAAACCAACGCTTGTGTATGGTGAGATCGCACTCACTTGTCCAATCCCAAGAGTTGTTCCAGCTTGTCGGCTTTGGAGGGCGTCGGGGCGGGTGTGGGTGTCCGTCGTGATGTGTTAGGCAGGCCCACCACCGGCCGCCTCGGTGCCACGACGATCTCTGCCGAGCGCTCGGCGATGGTGCTGGCCATCCACACATGGTAGTGATTCTCTGCGCAGGGCACACAACACAAAACACAGAGAGAGAGAGAGAGAGAGAGAGAAGTGCATGTTGTGCTGCGCTGTGTGCGCGTGTGCGTGGCGCCGCTTCACTGGCTCGCCCACTCACGTGTCTGTCTGCGTATGGTTGCTGATGATGGTCGGACAATAAATGCATCGTCAGCGCGGCCGCAGGATGATGCTTGCAGCACCACCAGAAGCAGCAGCACCGACGAGAACATCCTCCTCCTTCTCCTGATCCACTGGTCTCCTTCTCCTTCCCTCATTGCTGTCGGCCTGTCGCCGCTTCACGCATCTTCGTTGAACAGACAAGAAAGAGGGAGAGATCAAGCCAAAGACAGGGGCTTTTGCATTCCTCACGTCCAAGCTCTTTTGGAGGATTCCGTTTCACGACACTTTTAGGGTTTGCTTGCGTGTTGAGGAGGAGGGAAAAGCACACGATGAGTGTTGAGTTGGAGAGTGAGTGAAGCAGGCAAGCAGCAGCTCTTGATCGTGGCTGTGGTTGTATCTGAGTGGCCACACCAAGAACATGGCGGCGATGGGTTGGAAGGGGTGGTACACTGCCAGTGTGCTTGTTGTCATGTTTGGGGCACTCTGCTGGGAGGTGTACCCGCCCGAAACACTGGTATGTACGCCAAGTGGGTGATGTGCCCTCCCACACCACAGCACTGCACCAACGGACAAACGAACCGACAAACGAGCTGCTTTCTGTGTGGTGCACTGTGCTTGTGTTGTGCTTGTGTTGTGGCTGACAGGTGATGGCGGCGTTGGTCATGGAGTGGGCGGCAGGCATACTCAACACCGACGAGGCACTCGCTGGTCAGTCACTGACTCTCACCAGACAGACAGACAGACAGACAGGCAGACAGACAGACAGGCGGCGTGCTCACCTCCCACCTCTCCCCCGGCTGTATCTGTCAGGCTTCTCGAACAGCGGAATGATCACGGTGGCTGCGCTGTTTGTGCTCGTCAAGACGGCTTCGCGCGCCAAGTTCCTGCGCCAGTGTTTGGTCGCGCTGTTCGGCCGCCCAAACACACACACGGCCGGCGGCGGACAGAGCAACCGATTCAGCGCCAGATGGGGCATTCTCAGACAGATGGTCATTGTCATGGTGAGAGGCTGGGTCGGTCACACACGCAGTCAGTCATGTGCTATGCTATGCTCGGCTCCCTGTGTGTGCGCGTGGGTATTCAGGTGCTGTCGGCCTTTCTCAACAACACGCCGTAAGTGACGCATCGATAATCGTTCGTTCGTTCACCAAATGTGTGTTTGTGTCTGTGTGTATGTCAGTGTGGTGGCCTTCTTCATCCCTCTGATCCGTGAGTGGGCGCGGAGTCAGCGGATGGCGCCCTCCAAGTTCCTCATCCCCCTCTCGTACTCGTCCATACTCGGCGGCGTCTGCACCATCGTCGGCACATCCACCAACCTGCTCGTGCAAGGTGCATAGGCTGTGCTGTTGGGGGGAGCCATGCGTGCCAACCTGCACACATCTCTCCATCTCTCTCTCTCTCTCTCTCTTTGTGCAGGTTTCCTGCAGGCGAAGGGATTGCAGCCTTTTGGCTTCTTTGATAACGGGGCTGTGGGCGTGCCGGCAGGGGTGAGTTTCCACACATACACACACACACACACGCACACACACACACCAGACGCGCATCGACTGTATCCATCCATCCATCCATTTGTCCATTTGTCCCCTCACTACGTATGGATTGCCTGGCCTGAAGGTGGTGGCGATACTCTACATGCTGACGCTGGGCTACTACCTGCTGCCCGACAACAAGGGCGGCCTCTTCAGGCACACAAAGGAACACGCATCAGAGTTCCTCACACAACTCGTTGTCAACCCTAAAGGTCTGCAAGCCTCTCACTCACTCACACACACACATACACACGCAGGGAGAGAGAGGAAGGGAAAAGAGACGACGTTGTCTCTTGTTTTCCCATGCAGGCAAGCTGGTGGGCCGGCCGATATTGGCAACGGTGATGGAGATATTCGGTGGCGAGGCCACCGCCCTGCAGCTGCTGCGCCGGCGACACGAGGAGGTGACCATCGAGCCGATCGCCACCCCGCCCCCACACCCACACCCGACAGGCATCGAGATGATGACCGCAGCACACCCTCACGCCATCCAGACCCCCACCACGTCGGCCAGCTCTTCCCCCGACAAACACGACCATCTACGGTTCAGGACGACGAGCGAGCCAGTGGTCATCGGCCCGCCGCACACCAGCAGACCGCCTGCCACTGGCACCAGTGGGCATCAGCAGAAGGGCCTCCGGTTCAACGTGGAGGAGGAGGGATGGCAGAAGGTCTACCCCATCGGGTAGGCGTAGTACCAGCAGTACCAAGCAGGGTACAGTGAATCATCCAGATAATCCTTCTTTATTTCTTATAATAGCCCCGAGATGGTCTTCCGTGAGGGCGACAAGCTGCTGCTCGCGTGTGACGCCGACGCCGTCCTCACAGTAAGCATAAAACAAGGGGAACAACACCCATGTGCGTGGTGTCTCTCACCCGTCTGTGTGCGTGTGGCGCTTGCTTACGTGCAGGCTCAGCAGAACGGCGAGCGTCTGGAAATCCCTGACGTGAAGCTGAATCGGCTGGGTACCACCGAGCTGCACTCGCTGATGGAGCAGCTGGTTGAGGTGGTGGTCGCCCCGGGCAGCCACTTCATCGGCCGGCGGTTCAACGACCCCAACATCGTCTCCATCTATGGCGTGTCGGTGCTCGCCATTCGCAGGAGGGGACAGACAGCACATTTCAACGCCAACTCGCCCGTCATGTCCGCCCGGGCCTCGGCGCACTTCATTCACCATCACCATGGTACCTGCTCAGACACGCGTGTGTGGCGCGCCATGTGTCTGAGTGTCTGTGTGTGTCTGTGTGTGCAGCGTCGTCAGTGCACCAGCCCCACCCCGTGTCAGCCGTCGGATGCGACCCAGAGTCCCTGGCCGTCCCCCACTTCGTGCGAAAGTCCACCCACTCGCTGACCTCCCCCGCGGCGTCTCTGTCCACCATGAGCATACCACACCCCTCCGCCGCCGGAGCAGCAGCAGCGGCGGCGGCGGCGGCAGCAGCAGCAGCGGACGGCTTAGGTCCGTCCCCCTCCCTCTCGCCGTCTGCCTCTCCCTCCCCAGGCACATCCAAGACATCGCCCCCATCCCCCCACACACACGCGCATCATCATGACAACACATCTGATGGAGACCCAGGGGTGGCGCCGCGCGGCTCGCCGCGAGCAGCGCTGGAGGCCTTTGCCCGGGGCGGGACGGCCCGGTCGCCCATGGTGGGTGGTGTGGGTGGGCGGGGAGGCAGCAGCCCCTTTGGCCTTGGGTTGGGGGTGCTGGGTGGACAGTCGTATGGCTTCCAGCAGCTCATGGGGAGTGGTATCAGCCCCGCCAGCACACATGGACAGAGGGAACACACTCACGGAGGTGGTGGTGGTGGCGGCGTGTTGGGCCACTCGCACATAGAGGATTGGCGCATCATTGTGGGCGACACACTGCTGCTGCTCGCCCCCAAAGAGTAAGATACAATGCACACACAGGCCCACACACACACACACACACTTGGTGGGTGGCATGTGTGTGCACGTGTCTGTGTGTATGGTCAGTTTCCTGAGCCGTTGGGGCACCTCAACCGATTTTTATGTGGTGAGTGAGAAGGGCAACCTGGGCCAGGACACGCCGCAGTCCAAGTGGGCCGAGTACGGGTCGGCCGTCCTCATGCTACTCATGCTCGCCCTCGCCGCCGCCAACGTCATCGACATTGCATTCGGCGCACTCGCTGGCGCACTCCTCAACGTCGTCTTCAGGTACACACACACACATTGAGGCAGATACAGCACAGAGAGACCGAGATATTGTGTGTGTGTGTGTGTGCAGGTGGCTGACGCCCACCGAGGCGATCGACTCGGTGTCCTGGTCGCTGGTGCTGCTGATCGGTTCGTCCTTCGGTATCGGCACGGCCATGGACAACAGCGGCCTCGCGGCGGTCATCGCCGACGCCATACGGTCCGTGTCGACGTCGCCATTCGTCGCGCTGGCCCTGCTGTACTTCGCCACACTCGTCATGACCCAGCTTGTGACCAACAACGCGGTGCGTATGCATGGCAGTGCAGTGAACAAGGGTGTGTGTGTCGATGGATGGATGGATGGATGTGTAGGCGGCAGCGTTGGCCATGCCGCTGGCGGTGCAGCTGGCCAGCCTGTTGGGCATCTCGTATCGGCCTCTGTCCATGGCCGTCATGATCGCCGCCTCAGCCGCCTTCTCAGTGCCACTCGGTGCGGCAGAACCACACCCCTCACAGACACACCAGCCATCAGCACCCCACTCTCTCTCTCCGTGTGACTGTGTGGCTTGCAGGTTACCAGACCCACCTGATGGTGATGGGCCCCGGCGGTTATGTCTTCCTCGACTTCATGAAGGTCGGCATCATGCTGGACATCCTTTATGGCACCGTGGCCATCTTCACCATAGCTGTCGTCTTTCCATTCCACGCTTAGACAGAAAAGGCGTGACATCCATGCTATGTGTGTGCGTGTGGATTTGTTGACCCGTAGCAATGGGTATGTGGCTGGGGGGGTGGGTTTGGGCCAGTCACGTGTGTGCAAGTGAGTGTGAGTGTGTGCATCGGTCGGCCGGTCGGTCAGTGGCCTTTATCTCTCCTGTCCACACGATGGATGGATAAACCATGACGCATACCATACACGTGTTTTTTGTCTTTTGCTGTATGCATGTAATGGGTGGTCTGCTGGATGGATGGTTTATTGGTCCGTCCTCCGTGCCGTGCCGTGTGTGTGTGTCTGTGTGTATGTCTATCTTCTGTGTATGGCGTGTGGACGTGACGTACCTACCTAGTGGGAGGCCGATGTGCTTCCGTCTGTCCGCTCCGCTATATATAGAACATATTAATGTGTACAGTGAGTGAGTGAGTGAGTGGTATTGTGCGTGCGCTCATCCCCTGCCTGTGTCTGTCTGTCTGCTGTGTACAGAAAGGTAGGCAGGCAGGCAGGCAGACAGGGGAATTATTCAGCCTCACTGGCTGGCCATGTTTGCGCGGGAAGGGGGACGTGTTGGTTGGTTCGTTCGTTGGCTGGGTGAGTCGTCTGCCTTTATCTACGTCGATCGTCTTGTGGTTGTCTGTCTGTCTCTGTCTGGCTGCCTGTCTACCCTGAGGCCCAAAAAGGCCGGTTGACTGCTCAATGAAGACAGACAGATACGGAGGCAGGCAGGCAGGCGGGCAGATCCACGCTGTGTTGTTCCTGCGCACGTCGAGTCGATGAATGAACGGATCAAGATCATGGCGAATTGACCAGTACATGTTGTGGGGCTTCGCTCTCTCACCGATGGGTAGGTAGGTGAATGGATATATGGACGGGCGAATGAACGTATCTCTCGAACATCTCAAGCACACATCAATGAGTACTGTACACGCCCAGCTGTGTCAACTGAGTCAATACATATAGCTCTGAGCGATGCTTGGGAGCTACGAGGAAGAACAGCCGTCAAGAATGAAAGCGTCATCACGCAGACAAAAGTCATCTATCCGTCAGTGCGTCCGTCTGTCTGTCTATCTGTCTGTCTGTTCATCTCGAGTCGTGAGAACGTATCCCTCCGCTGTGCATTTGTCTGCGTCCTCGGGCGGCCATGCAGGTCCCAATGAAGGAGGTCGTCCCATAAGCCCACCCATTCACATCATTCGTCTACGCTTCTACGTGCACGTCTTGAAGCCTAAATGATATCGATCCCTCAGACTAAACATCCACAAACCTAGGACACAGTTACTGTTGGTACTGCAGTCCCTCAATGTATGTGTGGCTGTGTCTGCTTGGCTTACAGAAGTGATTTAGAATCAGGTGCTTCCGAGCAGGGCCTGTAGTAGCTTTTCCGCGACGAGGGCGATGATTCCGCCGATACCCACCAGAACTGCGACATCGAATCGCCTCTGCTCTGAGAGGACAAATGCGTGTACGTATATACTTGTATCGATGTCTCTGTCTCACTGAATAATCGATCGATGATGTTACCAGTTTTCAATCTCCTGATTCGTGACTCCAGATTCACCCTCTCTGCTTCCACTAGAAAGAAACAAGCAGAAAGAGGAATTGCGTTCCTGGTCTTTCTCATCAGAGGCCCACGTTCGCGCATTCGTGCTCGTCTTTCCTCGGCTTTCACGATGACGTCCCTCTGTGACAAAAGTAAGGGGAGAAGGGCAGAATCTGACATATGGTGCGCACGCGGCGTTACTTAGTTTTCCGATGTTAGCCACTAGCTCCGATGTACTAGCTAGCTCAGCCTCAATACGGGACAGCTCATACTTCTCCACCTCGGACAAACCGTCGCTCTCCTCCTTGCGCTTCAGCGACTCCTTCTTCCTTTCTTGCTCCGGAACATCTTGCTTGTATTCGTCCTCCGTGTCCTGCAGCTGTATTATGGTGATCATGCTGTCCGCATCAAGGTCCTGCGGCAAGGAAGAAACCGATTCACTGCTCTATTTGTCTGTGTCTGTTACTCGATATGATGGGGGAAGCCGCACAGCGACAGGAAACTCAAAAGTGGGAGTCTCTGGACCTACAAAACTCACGCATGCACACGCGCATACATACATGCAATGCTCTTGGACCAGTGCGTGTACTCCTGTGCTCTTGGAGGAGGAGATGGAGGTTCTCGTCACGGTCATCGGCGGACTCCTCCAGCTGTGCGCGTGTGCTCCGTAGACGGATGAGTAGAGTAGGCACCAAGTCCTCCACCCACTCGTTGCTGAGACGTGATCGCCAGTGGCGTGATCGTGCAGTGCTGCGCCGTACAGATGGCAGGGTGCGGTACGTGGGCAGAAACGCTGCACGACGCTGGCAGAAAGGCACGCAGGCGCGCGTTGGACCCCGATGAGGCTCCCGCCAGCAGCTTGGCTAGCAGTAAGATCACGGACGCAAAGCTCATCGCGTACCGACCCGGGCTGCCAGCCAAGCAACAGAAATAAGCACAGCAAACGACAGAATGAACACACCGTTTGGTCATCTATCTATATGATTCAGACGTGCGTGTGGCGCTGTGTACCTCTCACCTCATCAAAAGTGGCGGGCCCGCACGGCACGGCTCTGTTGTCTGCGCCGCCTCCTTGCCTGCCTTTCAGCTTGACAACACAACAGTGGATCTATGGTGAGGATCTGACCACGTCAGCACATATGTGCAGATCGGTGAATCCTTCCTCCTTTCCCTTCCCTCTGCGAGCTCTGCGACAAAACGGCTCATCCACTCCTACGTTCTTCGAAGACCGAAACTCAGGCATAGGACGACAAGGACACGAAGGTGGGTGGGTGATGTGGATCGTTGATGGTTGACTCATCCGTTTCGGGTGGTCTGCCCTGGATCTTCTTCCATGCCTTCTGATCATCGACAAGAGGATAATTCCACAGGCAGACTATACATAATTTCCATCTGCAGTCATGCACTGCGTGTGCATCTACTTAATGGTTTGAATCAGGCGCGGGATCATCTACTTAATGGTTTGAATCAGGCGCGGGGACACACACAACACTGAGAGAGAGAGAGAGAGAGAGAGAGAGAGAAGCACACGCGCAGTGCAGTGCACGCCCCCTCCCTCCCTCCCTCTAACTGCACACACAGCCCGCCCCTGCGCACATCCGTGTGTGGCAAGGTGCTGTCAGAAGTGCAAGTCGGTCCAGGGTTTAGGGTCTAGGGTTCATAGACCGACGATCCACTGATCTGTGAGACAGGACGGCTGTTGAGTCTTTGTCCGTTCCATGAGACAGGCCATGGCGGACAGGACGTCAGACAGGATGGACTGACGCATACTACATGTCCTACGTGGACTCTCCACAAAATCCACAGACCTTACGTTGCATTGACTTAATCCTTTATCCGGGACTGACCGCCCGGCAGATCCTCTCTTCACCATTCTCCCCGACTCTCTCCCACCTATTCTTACATGGGCGCAGCAATCTGGTTTGTGTTTTCC